TGCCAACGCTGCCGTCTTTACCCTGTCTGGTATGTCCAGCGGTGTGCGCAGGAGGTCGGGGCGGGGGACGACATCCAATCATGATCTTTTGCCCTAATAAAACACCAAGGGGCAACAGAGGTTAGTAGAGCCGCTTAAGCTAAGCGCTATTTGGGCTCTACTGGATCCCCCCAAAAAACACCCCTCAGCTGCCCGTCTAGACAGCTCAAGTGCCCATCTGATCAGCTAAAGTGCCCTTTTGATCCCTCCCACGGCACTTGTGATTAGCCCAAGTGCCCCCTGTGTTGGGCTCAAATGCTCTCCAGTTGGTTTAAAAGAACATACCAGTGACAAATCTCACATACTTTACAGCCGGACCATTCCCTAAGCATTCTGCAAACCACATTTCTTTTTCAAGCTGTGCTTCCTACAATGATTGTACAGCTTGTCTGCTGACAATTTTGTTGTGTACTGTACATAATTCAAACCAATAAGTGTCTCAAACTAAATGTAAAACCGTGCCACGACATTATTCAGCAAATCATGCAAACTTTTTCTTAAAGCTTCCCCAAGTACAGGTGCAGGACAATAACGAAACCAAAACACCCCCCCACCACACATAGGTGTCCCCCTTTTTCAAACAGTCCCTGGTCCCCTCATAGTCTGTGCACACCACTGGTCTGGTCTTTTCGGGTTTCCTGTATTGCATATAATGTGTGTTAGCTAATAACATTTAATCATATGAACTCTTACAGTGTGTGCATGTCACATTCCTTTGTGCAGGCTATTGATTATGTACATAAAGTCTAACTTTGTTACTGACAATCTAAGTTTTAGCTCAATGAAATAATTGCACGATAAGAAAATAACCCTGTATCCACACAAGCTACTTACCTGACTGAGAGACACTAAAGTGAGGAAAGCGTGTTTAGACAGATTTAAGAGGAAGATGTTAAATCTTAAATGTTCAGATTACATATATTGCAATAAGTTTATTACAGTGTCAGAGAGAGAGTGAGAGACAGAGAAAATAAGAGAATGTAGTACGTTGAGTAAGAACTAAAGAAGAAGAAAAAAAGGCAGCGTTAATGTGGTGAAGTGTCCGGTCAGTTTGGATTGAATAAACTGGGGGGATTTCATAAAAGCTTCAATATCTCAATTCAGGAAAAGAAAAAAAGACTATTTACAATAATGATATGTCATTTGAAAGTGAAACTTACAGATCTAATGCTACTAGTTTATCTACTAAAGCAGCAGAGATATGCTACAGTGATTTGTGGGATGGATTCAGACAAAACGAGGCAGGCTGATGAATGTGAGGCTTGAGCAAGGCTGGGTATCACTTTTACTGCTTCAGATTCTGCTCGGCAGTTCTGGTTCTGGTCATAACCTTTCAAATAAAGCAACCTTTAACTCTCTAAAGATTAAAATAATACTTAAATTGGAGTATATTTTAAGTCTTGGGCATAGAGGAAATGAAATTAATACCGATTACCGCAAAGTTACAACATTACATCTGGCCACACTGTAAAGTACTCCAGTCCAGCATATTGCACCACTATGATTAAAAAGAAATCATCTTTGGGTGTCCATAATGAGAATACAATAGTGTAAAGGATTCTTAAGAAATCTTTAAAATTGCTACAATTTACCACAGTTCATGATACC